AGGCGGGACTAACTATACCAACGCTTTTCAGCAATATACTCGCCTAGTTTTATCGCAGAATTTGGTATTTGTTAAAGGATCACATTATTCCTGCTATAAAAGAATAACCCTTTTTCTTCTCATATCTATTTATATCTCACATTCTCAGACGTGAAAAATGCGAGTTCCGTGCGGTTCCCTTAGGCCCTACACGAAAAACGTTTTGTAGAATTGTCTGTTTATCTAAATTTAGATGTGTGGAAGAAAATATAATCAGTTTGACTAGGATAGGACTCCGGTTCTCAAAAGAGATGTAAAGGGCATTTTCTCATCCGCTGATTCGGCAAATATAATGTCTATTCCTGCGATAACATAAAATTCATCGGAATCTGCAGGGTTCGTGCATTCCGTTCAGTCACAAAAGAATAAACCTTATCACTGCCGCAAAAGAATAAACCTTTTTTCTTTTCGTTTTATAAATTCTCAGACGTGAAAAAATGTGCGCTCGGCGCTATTCCTTTGCGGCTTACACAAATGATTTGTAGAAATGTGTTTATCTAAACATAAATTTAGATATAAGGGTGGACGATATAATCGATTTTTACTACAATAGAGCCCGATTGGAAATTTTCGCAAAAGACTATAAAATTTATTTTCCCATCCACTGCTTCAACAAATATAACGCCTACTCCCACGACATCATAAAACCTGTAGAAACACGTACGCTCCGTTCTGAGAAATTCTAGGACGTTCTAGGCTTAATTTAACAAATATTAAGAAATAAATTTGTTGTATGCTCGCGGAACTACCCCTCCCCTTTTCTTTTTCCTATAAGAAGCCCATTGGGCTGAGCCCAAACCATTTGAGCTTCTTCAGCCTTAGTACTCGTTTTGCGAAACGAAGTATATTAGTTCTCGTGTTTTCACCTGTGGAGTAATAAGTTCTTGTGAGAAATATAATGGCAGATACTAAATTTAACGCAAATGCTGAATTTAAGAAGATTGCGTATGGTGATTCTGAGAAGACTCGCTATGAGAGCTATATGCTTCTCTCCACTACTTATCCACTCAACACTTCGGATACTAAGAGGATGCAAATCGGATTGTGGGCATCAAACGACTGGACAACATTCGAGCCTACAATAAAACTATCCGGCAATACCTCTACAGGGATTCAGTTCGACTTCGCCACATGGGAAAAGTTTAAGCAATACATGAAACACATAGGCGATTACTTGCACTCTGTAACCAGGGCCGTGCCGGAGCCCGTCCATATCAACGATGTGACCATCACCTTTACGGCGCATGGGGCAAGGGCAATTATGGTGACTGAAAATACGAAAACAGCTAAGGTGAACACCGCATCGAAGAGGATGCCTACCGATTCGTCCCAGGGACAGCAACCCCCGACGAAGAAACGAAAAGTCTACACGGTAAACATCGTTGATGTTTACCGTGTTGATGAAGGCAACATCTTTCGACGGGCTAGAACTTATAACAAAATGTATTGACGCTCGATGTGAACAACTGCAAACGTTTGCAAAACTTGTGAACGATTGCACCCTGTTTCTCGTAACGGAAATAGAACTCAGACTTCCCAAGAAAAACTTAGACGAAGACATCGTGAAACAGACGCTCTTTGCAAACTATCAGGAAATCGAGCAAAACATACGTTGGCAATTAAAAGATTTAACGTTTCTAGATACTCATTTCCACATTATATTTCAAGAAATTATCACGATTTATTTAAATAAAATTGTACGAGCAATTTTAATAAATGTCTCATCTTAATCATGAAAAATAAAATGTGAATGAATTCTATGAAAAATATCGTGCATTCCTTTCTCTTCGCCACTTTTCTCTTCCCTGTGATTTCTAGCTCGAGGTAACAAATTCCGTTGTAAACTTTTCGAGTTTGAAAGCGAGGGGACCCGCACAGGTAAAAATATTCGGGGTAGACATAGACCAGAGGTATCGTCTTCCAACAATCGCCGGGTAGTTTTTGTCTTCGAAATGATCCCTACCTGCTCGCACACGCTCACGAGAGTCGAGAGCCGGGGTCTCATGGTGGGGTCTCGAATCCCGTAAGTTCTAGAATTGGCCGAATTTTTCACGCGTGACGTCGATACTCTTCGTATGTATACAATATAGCTGGTTTCCATCAGGGTATAGTAGTAGCGCAGGGTATAAGGCGCTTGACTCTCGAGAGCCAACGGACCCAAGTTCGAATCCGGTCAGGGCCTACTACAGGATTTTTCCAGAGACTTCACACTAACCGCACTCACATACACACATATACGCACGCCGCACTCTCTCCGCTCTACGTATACGTCCTGAAATCAGTCTCTACCAAAAAGTAGCAGCAGAGTAGTGGTAAGACGTTTGACCCGAGAACTTGAAGTTCCGGGTTCGAGCCTCGTAGAGTGCCAAGGAGATTTTTCCAAAAGTAATATGCAAATTAACCAGCTGACCAAGAGCTATAGAATCACTAACAACGCCTAATATGAATAATAAAATATGAATAATAAAAATTTAATATTTAGATTACGCTAATTTTTATTCCGGTGATTCAAATTTCCGCCATTTTCAGCCTTGGAGGTAGGTATGGCCATTCAAAATATTCCTCCTCCAATCGACCTTCCGGCGCCGGTGGGCGTGGTCTAGTGGCGCCGGTGGGTCGAGTGGAAGGGGAATGTTTTGACTGGCCATACCTACCCCCATACTACTTTCCTCAAAACATCTCAGAATGAATTTAAGACTGTCTTGAATATAAAATCTGACTATGGATACCCATTTTAGACTTCTATATACAGGGTGTTATAAAAGTCCTGGAAGAGCAGGATAACTCGAAAAATTAGTTCTAGAAAAAATGCGAAATACTAGGTTTTTATGATTTTTTTCTGGCTATCTGGCGGTGACCTTGGATTTGACCTTGACAATGACCATGAAGGTTATTTCAAGGTCAGATCAATTTTTTTAAATGGGACCACATATTTTTGACCCCAGAAATGAAAAGAATGGAAAATTTTACGTTCGGATATGACCTTGAACACTGCCAAGTTTGACTTCTGAAGGTCACATAAAGGTCTAAACTTGTTTTAGGCTGAAAATGTGATATCTTCGAAAATGCACCTGCTAAGGAGCAATGTTACGCATAAGAATAAGAATGTAGAAGTCAACGAGGGACATTCAGCCATGACCTTGCCCTTATTCTCAAGATTATGAGTTAAGATTATTATTAAGATCAAACCGGACATTTTAGGACTGAAAATCCATACTTTTGACCTAAAAGTGTCAAGATTGAAAAATTTTACGTTCGGATATGACGTTTTCAACCTTGACCTTGTTCTTAAGGTTATGTGTCAGTCATATCAAGGGCAATTAAATTTTTAAGGTTGGAAACACATACTTTTACCCCCGTAATGTGAAGAGTGAGATTTTACGTTACGTACGAAGTGACACTCCGATTGTTGATAATTCCTCAATATCGGGCGCCATTTTGGATCGGTCATCTTGAATTTGTAAAATCCAACGTCGGATTCGATTTCAGAAACGACTTCAAAAACTCCTTAAACGAGATCCAATTTTTGTTATTCTTAAATATCGGCCGCTATCTTGAATCGGCCATCTTGAATTTGCAAAATCCGACATCGGATTCGGTTTTTGCGAGCTCAAAAATCCCAAGATCGGTATCCGAAAAATTTATACGCCATCGATAAAGTGTATGCTTCAAGGTTTTTATTTGTCTCGATTCTATCAGTGTCAAACAGATAATAGATTGTTTTTGAGTTTTCATCGATTTAACAAGTTTTGATGTCATTCTAGTCCGTTTTAAATTATTATCATATTATTATTAACGATCAATGGTACATTACTTATTATTTTTATTTAAAGGTAAAGAAACCGAATTTTTTATATCAAAATTTTGCAAATTTTTTGTTTTCAATTCCAAATGGCTTCTGTTACAGAGCATAAGAGAGTTTCGCTATTGATGATGAGAGGATGGGGGGATAGACAAAGGTTATACAGTGAAGTGAGATTGCTGTTCAATGAAAACTTTCGTAATGAAGGCGAAGGTAACGTAAAATCTCACTCTTCACATTATGGGGGGGTAAAAGTATATGTTTCCAGCCTAAAGAAATTAATTGACCTTGATATGACTGACACATAACCTTAAGAACAAGATCAAGTTGGAAATGTCATATCCGAACGTAAAATTTTTCAATCTTGACACTTTTAGGTCAAAAATATAGATTTTCAGTCCGAAAAAAGTCCGATTTGACCTTAATAATAATCTTAACTCATGACCTTGAGAATAAGGGCAAGGTCACGGCTGAATTTCCCTCGTTGACCTCTACATTCTTAATCTTATGCGTAATATTGCTCCCTAGCAGGTGCATTTTCGAAGATATTCGCGTTTTCAGCCTAAAACAAGCCTATATCTTTATGTGACCTTCAGAGGTCAAATTTGGCAGTGCTCAGGGTCATATCCGAACGTAAAATTTTCCACTCTTTTCATTTCCGGGGTCAAAAGTATGGGGTCTCATTTAAAAAAAATTGATCTGACCTTGAAATGACTTCAAGGTCATTGTCGAGGTCAAATCCAAGGTCACCGTCAGATAGCCAGGAAAAAATCATAAAAACTCAGTACTTCACATTTTTTCTAGGACTCATATTTTTCGAGTTATTTTGCTCTTCCAGGACTTTTATAACACCCTATATATAAAAGTACACTAAATACTGTCTATAATATTCATAAAATATTATGCGTTATTTAGGAAATGAAAGAATGCTTAAAACCTACGTGGATTTGACTGCGGATTGAAACAAATACGTACAAATAGTTACCTTTAAGTGTTTTTATATTTTGCAATATATCTGTTAAAATTACAAATAACAAAAAATGATGTGCTAACTGTTTGATTTATTCCTCGTACAATTATCAAATAGCAAACATGTATTTTTGGTAACAACAAAAATCTTTATCTCAGTGCGCATGCAATGTAGTTGTGTTGAATTCAGGTAATGGGTATGATCCAGATTTGGCCGGATATTTTTGAAGTGCTCGATTGCTTACCGTTATTATTTTATGCTATAATTGCCATAATAAAAGCGATCTGCATGATATATAGCATACCTAAGGTATGTAAATAAAACTAACATTGATGATATTGATCAGTGTAATTATGTTAAGATCGAAAAATGATGATGTAACGCGTGGTTTTATTTATTATTGAATTAACTTCGAGCTGCAGATCAAGATTCTTTTGATCAAGATGAAAAAATATTGGCAGTCACCAAAGTCCGACAGAGAGATGAAAATTCTTCAATCTTATGCAATTTATGGGGAAAAATTTGGCTACGTGTATACAGGTGAGTACATTGATTAATAAAAACAAAAATTTGTTAATCTCTGAATAAATGATTTTAAAAATCTCGAAGAAACATTGCTTAACCCACTTCAATAATAATTAGGTATCATGTTCAGTCATTCCGCTCTTTACCTATTTATGACTACGTTAAAGAAATTTGTATATACACAATTCAATGAGGAATCCGAAGCGTCGAGCAAAATTCAAAACGCTCAAGAGGGAGTACCTTATCGCGTTAATTACATGGTGGATATCAATACGTATTACATCCCGATTCTCTTACACACGGCCACGTGTGAAGTATTATATCTGTTTTTAATTATCTCACAAGATGTGTTATATCTAACATTTGTGCAACATTGCTGCAGCCTGCTCGCAGCTTTGAGGTGAGAGTATTCCATTTCGAAACTGAGATCTCAGAACATGATATTTGTAAGTTAAACATAAAGAATAATGGATAAAAAGAGCCGATTTTGACTTATTGTGAGGAACGAACAAAACATCATTTCCAAAGGATTTTGACCCGCTGAACACGATGTCGTCGTCAGCATGTCTTTCGTCTAAAACCCGGGAAACATATTCTACGAGGGTAGTCCGATAAGTACTTAGCCTACAAAAGAAAAACGAAAATTTTGGAAAAGTGGCGATTTATTTCTCAACATAGTCTCCTTTTAGCTCGATACACTTGACCCAGCGATGCTCCAACTTCTTTAACCCGTCTGAAAAATACGTTTTCTCGAGGTCTGCAAAGTAGGCCTCCGTGGTGGCGATGACCTCCTCATTCGACTCAAATTTCTGCCCGGCGAGTGACTTTTTCAAGTTTGGAAACAAAAAGAAGTCGCACGGGACCAAATCTGGAGAATACGGTGGATGGGGCAGCAGTTCGTAGCCCAATTCGACCAATTTGACCGTGGCGAGGGCGGAGGTGTGAGCCGGTGCGTTGTCATGATGGAAGAGCACTTTTTTCTTCGCCAAATGGGGCCGTTTTTTTTGCAATTCGGCGTCGAATCGGCCCAATAATTCGACATAGTACAGTCCTGTGACCGTTTTGCCCTTCTCCAGGTAGTCGATGTAGATCACACCTTGTGAATCCCAGAAAACGGTGGCCATCACCTTTCCGGCCGATAGGACAGTCTTCGCCTTCTTCGGAGCACGTTCGCCGGGTCAAGTCCACTGTTTCGACTGTTCCTTGGTCTCTGGTGTGTACCAGTGGATCCATGTTTCGTCGACGGTCACGAAACGACGCAGAAACTTCTTCGGATTGCGCTTAAACAGCGTCAAACACTGCTCTGAAGTAGTCTCACGGTTGCGCTTGTTGTCCGGAGTGAGCAAACGCGGCACCCATCGCGCCGACAGCTTTCTCATGTCCAAAATTTCATGCAGGATATGACCCACATGGTCTTTTGAGATGCCTACTGTCTCAGCTATCTCGCGCACCTTCAATCGGCGGCCTGCCAATACGAGATCGTGGATTTTTGTCATGTTATCCTCCGTGGTAGCCGTTTTCGGGGCACCTGGGCGTGGCTCATCAAAAACCGACGTGCGACCACGTTGAAACTCGTTAAACCAATTTTTGACGGTCGCCATCGAAGGAGAAGAGTCACCGTACACAGCATCCAAGCGCTCTTTGATTTCGCTGCGCGATTTCCCTTCCAAAAACAAGAATCGAATCACCGACCGATATTGCTTTTTTTCCATTTTTCTAAAATCCGCGGACACGCCCGCTTCCACACGCGGTCAAAACAAAACTACGAGTCCGATTCGGCTGAAATTTCGACAGTAGCCGTCTATGAGAATGTACTACACGATAGTAAATTTCTCTTGCGATAGTGGCGCCATCGGGCGGTGAGGCTAAGTATTTATCGGACCGCCCTCGTATTTCGAGGATCTATCATCCAATAATCGAATGGCCCGGGAAGCCTTTGCTAATCTTTGAAGCTATTGCAAACTCGTGTATTAGCTAAATTAGCTGAAGATAGTTTACATTTTCGATTTAATAGAATTATTATCGATTTAATAGTTGAAGGTATTCTCTTTTTATATAAAATTTGCTGTTTTTTATGCTTTTTATGCAAAAACAAATAATATACGCGGTATCATAGACCATCCGTACCACCTGATTTTTTTGTAAACACATTTTAGGGAAAAATGTCTCAGACAAAAGTTATTAAAATTAATTGGTAGAAAAAGATGATATAATAAAAAATTGGGTTTTCCATTTAGGAAAAATAATGATCAGTGAATATCTTGAAAGTAGCACCATCTGTAAACAAAATGATATAATTATTATATGTCTCCTTTGAAATCATACAACTTTTGTCTGAAATATTTTTCTCTAAAATGTCGCATTCACAAAAAGATCAGGTGGTAGGGATGATCTATGATACCGTGTATATTATTCATTACAGCAAATTTTGTAACAGCTGTAACAGAGAACACCTTCAACTATTAAATCGAAAATAATTTTATTAAATCGAAAATCTAAACTATCTTCAGCTAATTTAGCTAATACACGTGTTTGCAATAGCTTCAAAGTTAATGTAAGCGCTTCCCAGGCCATTCGATTATTAAATGATAGATCCTCGGATTAGAACATATTTTCCGGGTTTTAGACGAAAACTAACGATGGCATCGTGTTCGGCGGGTCAAAATCCTTTGGAAATAATATGTTTCGTTCATTCCTCACGATAAGCCAAAATCGGCCTTTTTTATTCATTGTTCTTTTCGAGTTACAAAGCATCGAAATTAACTTTCTAATTTCTGACTAATATCGCGCCTTAGATATCTTTTAGAAGATACATTCGAATTTAAGGACGATGGCGATGATCCGGTGAAGGCAATTGCAAATAGTAATAGATGTTATGCAAATATCGTCTACAGTATTCAAAGACATACCGAGGCGATTCAGTTAGTACATTTATTTAATCGTTACCTTTATATGAATAGTAGTACGAGAGTAGTAGTGATGACAAATCAATTGATACGATCCTATTTATTACGACAGATTTATAGATATTATGGAGTCATTATTTACGCTACCTCTCTTTCTACATTTGGGTTGTGTTATCTCTATTATAAGCGTCGTAGGATTCCAGGTGCACTCGAAATGTAGATAAATATCCAACAATATTATAATTACATTATGCCTATAATTACTTTTTCAGGTGATAAGGAATGCCAAAGATGTTGCTGTTCTTACGCGACATGGCATTTATTTTTGCGGAGCAGTTATAAACGCGTTTTTTGAGAATTGGCAAGGTCAGAAAATCATAGATTACAGTGAAAAGGTGTATGAATACGCGTACGTGTAATGTAATCTCAGAAGCACGCTTTCAAAATTGCAAGTAATAAACATAAAATATATTCTGTCAAAATGTTACGTCGGTTAAAATGTTCATTTTGATTCTGAATAAATGTTATTTTATATAAAATACAAGCCAAAATACTGACAGCATTCTACCGCAGGAACGTAAAAAAATTTTTATAAACAACGATGGCGATTATTTTATTAATAATAATAACAATTTATTTCCTGCAAGTAAAGTCGAATTTAATTCAAAATTCGAACCTTTTGACAGATTCGACAGATCGAACTAATGTCTTTTCGCCTGCACTTTATAATTATTTGAAAAATTTAACATCATGTCAAATAGTTAATATGTAAACTGACTGCATTTGCAGATATAATGTGCAATGGTATGACATGCCAAATGCAACAAAGAAGCTTCTAATATTGATCATGTTAAGAAGCATAAAGCCGTCTCAGATAACGGCCGGCAAAGTCATTGTAATGTCGTATTTGAATTTCAACGCGGTAAGTAGGATATTATTCTATACGTATTAGAATATAGAGGCTTTCAAAAGTTCATTATATTACCGATAATTGTATTAAAAGTAGAATTGGGAAAGTTACTTTTTAAAAGTAACACATTATCGTTATCCTTATTTCCGATAAAAAATTATTCATTATCATTACTCGTTACTGATTTTAAAAAGTAATGTTGTTTAAAAATAATGATTGAAATCGTTACTTTTCGTTACTTTTTCCTTAATTCCAAGATAGGATTATAAGATAGAATGCTTTAAGAAAGGATATATTGTGTTGTTCGGAAAATAATTTCGGTTTTTTGCATGAAAATAAAAGACGATATTTTTAATAGAAAGAAAAATTGGATTCTATTAAATATTGACCATTTTGTTCTAACACCTTCTGCCATCTTTGAAGTAATAACATGATTCCATGCTCATAGAACTTCTGATCCTTATTAGCGAAAAACTGAATTAAATAGTTTTTTACAACTTCATTTGAAGCGAAATTTTTGCCATCCAAAGAATTTTGCAGTGATCGAAACAACTTCTGGCAAGTCATTAAACTTGTATGAGGTCTGGCATTGTCATAATGAAACATAACACCTTATCTGTTTGCTAATTCTGGTCTCTTCTATTTGATGGAATCATTCAATGTGTCTAATTGATGACAATATACATTCGAATCAATCGTTTGGTTGTTTGATAGCAGCTCAAAAAAACCATTCCTTTCTAATCCTACCAAACAGAGAGCATTACTTTCTTTTGAAGAATATTAGCTTTTGATATGCTTTAAGCTGGTTTATCACGTCTGCTCTATGATCTTTTGTGTTCAATATTGTTATATACAATCCATTTTTCACTTCCAGGAGTCGCTTTAGAAATGAATTATTTTCCGCACGTTTCAACAGAAAATTGTAGACAATAATGCGACGAATCAAATCTCTTTTTTTGAGAACATATGGAACTCAAATATCGAGCTCTAAAACGAAATCAAGTTGTTACGAATGCTTATGCTCGGTCAAATTCAATAAATTCAATTTCTCAGCAATTTCTCATGTTGTTAAATGACGATATGCGTCCACCAATGACTTTATTTGATCTTCATTAGCCTTAACTGGCCTTCCAGAACATAGTGCATGCAGTTGATTGCATATTATTATAGCTGATTTCCAGAGCTTCTTAAAATACTATAATAAAATATTTTTTTATTAAGTATTTTTCGAGTTATGAAGCTTGAAAGTTGCAGCCGGCATTAGCATCACGTAAAGACCATATCACACTAGCGACTCGCGGCTGCGGCTGTGACTGCGATTGCGATTTCTTGTTTTCTAATCACACTTGCGATTGGCGATCGCGGCTGCGGCTAAATACTATTAACATACTGTCACACGTACAATCCCAGAGAAGGGGTCTACATTCTACGAGATCTACTAAATAATAGTCTCTCTTTATTAAACTGTTTCGACATTTAAAAAAAATATGTAACACATAAAACAACATTAGATATAACCTTATTCTAATGATCACCGACTTCTACATACTATTAAATAAATGTGATTATGACAAGCGGGTCACGTGATTATACGGAGTTCTGTGATTGGTTGCGACTGCGACTGCGACTCGAAAAATGGACAGCCGTCCAAACTAGAGCTCGGCAAAAAATGCACGCGACGGCCGATTTTCGACTATCTCCGCCCACCGCTGTTCCCTTTACCTCGCCACTCCGCATGCTGCCTACAAGCCGCTCGAGCCTCAGGAGCGTGTTTCCAACAGTTTTCCACGTCACCCATGAGGTACTATTGTTGACGCGTTTTTTTTTAAGTGGTATCCCCAGTAGGCCTAATCCACTGATGACTGTAACAACCCATAACTAATTGAACAGAAGCGAAATAAAATATGTTAAATGAAGAATATTCAATTCGATTTTCGGCGTCTTTTATTAGTAAGAGTGGAAACGTCAATTTGGATATTGCATGTAGCGAGCCGCATAAGACATGGTAAGGAATTGTCGCTTAAAGAAGAACACTTCTCATTTTTTTAAACTTCATTTTTGAAAAATGAAGAGGCCTACTGGGGATACCACTTAAAAAAAACGCGTCAACAATAGTACCTCATGGGTGACGTGAAAACTATTGGAAACACGCTCCTGAGGCTCGAGCGGCTTGTAGGCAGCGCGCGAAGCGGCGAGGTAAAGGGAATAGCGGTGGGCGGAGATAGTCGAAAATCGGCCGTCGCGTGCACATTTTGCCGAGCTCTGACCTAGACCATCATAGACACATGCTCGCGGACGCACAGTGAAGTTTCTTACAGTGTATGATGACGTCAGGCATACGTCGAAAGAAAAAAATAAGTCGAAACTAGGCCAGACTTGAACCGAGACTCTTTGTTTACTGTGCAATGGTCCTACCACTTAGACCACTGTATGCTTTCGTTAGGGAGCGCGCAGTAAAACTTCTCTAACTGTGTATTACATAAACGGACAGAGTTGGAGGCACACAGTCCTCATCTGCAGTTTTTCAGCGACTGCTATCAAAACATATATTGGACCATTATTGAACATCTATCGAACATTTATTGTACCATATCGAACTACTATTACCATCGAACTACTATTAAACATCTATTAAATATCAACTATACCATATAGAACCACGATATTGAAAGAAGGAGGGCGAAGGAGGGAGAGAGAACTAGATGACGACGGGACGCCGTGCGTTCGGGACCTGCATCTTATTTTCGTTCCGAAGAGAGAAAAATATCGAGAGCGCGATAGTCACTATAGACCTGGAATCGAACCCGGGTCTTTCACTTGCCGGGCGATTGCTCTAGACCATTGAGCTACCTCCATGCTCCACGCTCACGACACACTCCTCTCCCTAGATAACGTTGAGAGATCGAACGTCTCTTAAATATCTAATAGGCATTATACCGCAAATAAAGTACTATATTTTTATCAAACACAATTACCATATAAAATCCTAAGAGGTGAAAAGGGATAAGCGTATTGGAAGAAAAATCTGTATATTTGAAATATTTTATTAAGGGTTGTACAATTGCCTCCAAGATCACTACTTGAAAATTTTTAGTACATTCTGTAAAGCACAAAAGTGAATATTACAATTAAATTTAGATACAGGGTAGGACAAAAGTTTGGATACACCCTCATAACTTTTGAACGAATCTAGACAGAAAGTTGAAATTTGGGGAAGTTATATAGGATCATGAAAACTATTTTTTGTGCAGGATGGCATCCATCCCCTACCTCCTTGGGGCACGAGGGCGAGAGTGACTTGAAAATCTTAAATGGCATGAAAGGTCAATTGAGAGCTCATTTTAAAGGCGTTCTAAGGACAAACAGAAATGTTTTTTGAGAAAGTTTGCTATGACTCTCCAATCGAAAGTTGTGATTATAAAACAAAAATTTGCATTTACTTGTTTATTGCGTTACCGTTCTTTACGTTACCTAGGGTCTATGGTGAGGACGTAACGGTTATCAGACCCCGTGTGTATGTATGTGTGTAATGGAGATCAGGACTCTAGAATTCGTCACTCTCCCAATAGTTTGTGACTCCAAATCCTCTCTGTTTCACACACCCGTGTGTGTGTGTGTGTTTGTTTGTATATATGTGTGTGCGCGCGCACGCGCGAGTGTGGGTGGGTGAATATGTGTTTACAGTAAGTGTTCGAACTGTCGACCTTCTACAGTTTGACAGTGGCCCAGACGATTGTAAAAGCTGGTTGTAACATTTTGTAAATTTCGGGAGTAATTAATGTCATTTCGTCGATAATTTGTAGTTGCAAGTCGTTGAAATTTTAAGGTTTAATTCTATACATTCGGTTTTTCAAATAACCCCAGAAGAAAAAGTTCAAGGGAAACAGGTCAGGTGATTTGGGTGGCCACTCGATTGCACCCCTTCTTCTTATCCATCTTTCAGGAAAAGTATTGTTTAAAATATTCCGCAATTGTAATCCAAAATGTGGAGGAGCATCGTCCTGCTGAAACCAAACTGAATCAAAATCTGGACCGAAAATGTTGCGAAGAGTTCGTACAATATCGTCTCGGAACATGGCCTCATAACTTTGTGCTGTCAGATTGCCATCAATGAAAAATGGTCCTATTGTGTGCTGTCCAACTATTCCCGCCCAAACATTTAGTTTTTGTGAATATTGGCTTTTGGATTTTCTCATCTAATGCGGATTAGAATCACTCCAATATCGACTGTTATGTCTATTTACTGAACTATCTAACATAAATGTAACCTCGTCTGAGAAAATAATCTTGTTTTGAAATTCCGGTTGATCATCAATTTTTTGCATCATTACGTCACAAAATTCGAGTCGGCGATTAAAATCATGTGCGACTAATTCCTGAACGAGATTTATTTTGTATGGGTGAATGAAAATCTTCTACAAATGATTGTAATATTTCTTTCGAGATGTCTTCATTTATAGCAATCTTCGGCCTACCCGATCTTTGCCGATCCTTGACGCATCCTGTATTTTGAAAACGATCACATATTTTCTGTACAGTAGCTGCAGAAATTCCAGATTATCGACGATAATGTACAGTATTTACCGAGTATCACAGCGGTGAAATACTTTTCCGTCACAAGATTCAAAACCGATCATACAATTTATTTCATAACTCTTGTTCGTCGAGATTTGTTTCAGTGACCCTTTTAAAGATTTAATTGTAAGTAGTCAGAAAATAACATGGCAACTTATTTTACATGATACGGCCACGTTATTTTCTTAAAATACTGTTTTATTAAATAAAATACTCTCTTCACAATTAAATCTTTAAAAGGTTGACTAAAACAAATCTCGACAAATAAGAGTTGTGAAATAAATTACGATAATAAAGTACGATCGGTTTTGAATCTTGTGACGGAAAAGTATTTCCCTGCTGTGATACTCAGTAAATGCACACTATCGTTGATAATCTGACAATCAAACGAGTGTCTCGGATAGGCTAACTGAGTGCTTGGAAATGGCGCTTACAGA